CTACAGTCTCCAAGTGTTATATCATCAGTTCAGAATAGTACAAAATATCAGACCCTGTTTCACTATTACGTGATACAATTTACTGAAATCGAATATGAGCTTAGATTTTGTCATGAAGATCATTACATGTAGTTTCCAGTTTGACAACCCACACATTTATCTGCTCTCTCAATTTCTCGTGATGCCTCCGAGAGAAGGGTTAACTGGCGTTCAAACGGAATATGGCAATCAGAAAAATCAGGATGCGAATAGTTTGGTCTTTTAAGATGGACAATGGGTAGGTGAATCGATCGGTTCAAAAATTTGCCTAGTGCTACCTGGCTGCGGTCGGTAATTTATCACGCTATTCATTCCCCATTTACTGTCCAGTTAATTCAATCAACATGGATTTCGACCAAGGTGCATGAATGTCTCTATGTTGACAAAACGTCACAGAAAGTTGCGTTCAGTATGCAAGAAGTAATTGCGTTTTAAGGAACGAACAATGGAAGCCGACCATTTAGACCGACGAATCATTATTTCTATTAGTTAAGCACGGCTGTTGATGGCATGTTTGGAAAAGTTCCGACAAGGCCGATAGTTAGGTTTACCTTGGAGTCCGACACATCTGGGTACTGTTGAGCACATCTACTAAAGCGATTTTTCAGAAAGATAACACGGATGCACATCGTTCCGTTGTCCTATGAGTAGTATGCGTATCATGGCATAAAAACCCTCGTGTGGTCACCTCCATCCAATCGGACAATTGTGGGATCAGCTCGGGAGGAATGTGGATCGGAAGCAGCAATACAAATCTCTAGAACAGTTGAGGATTGCCTTGAAGAAAAAATGGGACCGTATACCATAAGATACTATGAGACTGTGGCCAGTGAGTATGACTCCACGGACAACTGCTGTCATATCATTCAAAAGTTGTTCAACCATGTAATTACGGGTGAACGCTTGAGAACAATCACACCATTTGAACAGACAAACAGAAACATAAACACTATTACGCCACAGAACATCCGCGCCGTCTGATTATTCGATAGGTGGCAAACCTCCAGCAATGTGTCTATTTATGCCTCTCGATCTAATTTGTCAGGCGCACCCACATGCCCGTCGTTCAGTAAACGATCCACTCGGTGTTTCAGTTATTTGTGGGGAAGGGACATTTTGGAGAGCAGTAAATATTTTTGAACAAACAGGAAAAAAACTGAGTTTGTCGGTTGAAAGATATTTTAAAACATGTTGCAGGAGGATACCCAGTGTTTTCTTCGAAGCACGTATAACTTATGTGCCACGGGGAAAAAATCCCGAGTACGAACAGACATCCTGACTAAGTGTTCGCTTGTTACACTGCATTTATGATACTAAGAAGTGTGGTAACCAGCAGATAGATTCACCGGAAAACAGTCGTGATTTCATGTGAGTTATAAGAAGAAGCTAACACAAGGGGTTGGTGCACCAGCCCAATTGTTGAAATCCACTTTTTCCGTTAAACAACAATTCTGAAGCACTCAAAGGACAATACTCCGCAGCACATTTCAGTAGTGTTGCTAACCATTACTTGAGGGTTTCCAGATAAAGTTTATCTTCGTACCAGTGAGAAATGGTTACACCAGTTTCAAGACGGAATAACAGATTGTTCCGTGCTGTTTGGTGCGCCCATCATGACAGCCAGTGCAAACGGCTTCTTCGATCGCTACCCTTAGTTTAGACACTAGTATGAGATTCAACGGTGGGCCACGAAATTTGTTCCCAAGTAAAACGTCACCAAGTATGCTTGAATTCCAGAATACGCACAACGCAACACGAGAACGCAACGGTCATTTGGTCGGAATATTCACGTGTTCTAACTGTTTGCTACACGTTCCGCCCCTATCCTCTAACGAAACCGATAGTTGAGGTGCTTAGATGGGCACCGATTTCACAATGGAAATGAAACTTATACAACATAATCAGTCATAAAACAATTTCTACCAGCAGCAAGACTGCGCAAACAGGGTTGCATTGGTTGCTATGGTTTCGGTCAACTGTGCACACTACAATGTTTACTTACCACAGCGCACAGAACGGCATGCAACTGACGAAGTGCAAGTGGTTGCTAGGGTCTGTAAAGAAAAGAAACAGAGTGAAGATGTCATTTGGGAAAACGGGTAAACAGACCAAACTGTATATAAAAGCCCAAGAGTGCATAACCAATTCAATCGGTGTTTGTCTGTATTGAGTGGTGATTTCAATGCCGAATTCCTGACCGCAAACACTACTGCTAGGGGAAGTAGAAGGGTATAAATTTACAGTGACAAGAGCTTACTATGAGATAATCAAAATCGATAACTCAAGCCCTGGAAAGTAGAGCGGAGAACTATGTAAAGCTTCTGTTGGATAGGGCAGATGTGGTATTCAATCAAACGACGGTAACGCTGTCAGCATTCCAGAAACAAAGAATCGAGTGGACGAGTAAAGGTAAACCATTTGGGACAGGAACAGACCAAAGTGTATCTCTAATGGCTACCATAAGCAATAAAATTGACAGCTTGATTAGAAACTAAGCAGTTCTGATTATTACCAGGATTAATTGGGGGACACCGTATGTGATATTTTGTGCCAAATTTTAGTGTTCAGAACTGTATCGCCTTGAGGGCTATTTCACTACACACCGCTGTATGATGAAAAGTAGTTCTAGCGTGGCAAATCACGAGGTTCCAATAGGATAGAAGTACTGTTGAGACAGAACTTTCCGAAGTGCCGCTACGTTATATTCACATGTCTGAGGAGCTAAACAATTTCCTTCACAATAACGGTATCGTCTCCAGCAGAACAACAGTCTACAATCCTCGCTCAAACGAGCAAGTTGGGAGACTAAACGGAACGCGCTGGAAGACAATCGTTCCCGCATCACAATCGAGAGGTCTGCCTTATACTTGGTGAGAAACTGTTCTTCCGAAAGCTCTCTTCTCCGGTCGAGCACTATTGTGTACAACCACAAATGAGACACCTCACGAGCGATTGTTTGCTTATCATCGCAAATCTGCATCAGGAGATTCTACACCAACTTGGTTGAGTAGTTCATGGCCTGTCGTGATGCGCCACATTTTAGGATTAACAAGAAACCGAGTCACTGGTTGATGAAAATGAATAAATCCATTGTAATCCCAAGTACACGTATATTCGTTTCTCAGACGGCTGGGAAGATACTGATACATTCTGGCTCCCAAAGGTCAAGCATCTGGGTCACCAACGGCTATGCACCCAGAAGCCAATGGATCTTCAATTCTCGGAAGTGATTCT